AGATATACCAGTTGAAAGAAGTCCAAAACCTTTTGAAAATAATAGAAAATGGGTGTGATAGATCAGTAAACAACTTAAAAACCACGTGCTCGGTCTTCCATTGAAATTCAAGACCGAGGGCCTTCGGCCCTCGGTCTTGAATTTCAATGGAAGACCTCGCACTTGGTTTTTAACCTATATGTAAATTTCAGTCGTCGTAATTTCGTTGAAGATTTCGTAAAGGCTCGTAATACGAGATTACTTCGACTTGGTCGAAATTACTTAAACGTAAATTCCCCGGTATTCCCCGGGGGTCGAGGGGCGGGGGGTATTATAGCTCATGAGAATGATCGTCATTTTGGGATCAGGGTATTTTATCTTTGGGGCCAGGCCTCACTGCTGCTAAGATCGGGATTAGAGATCAACTGTAAAAACATGGAGGGATCAAATTTCGGATCACGGACAAAAACTTTCGCTCAAAATAATTGGATCACATGAAGAAGAATATACAAAAAGTACATGTTTTGTGCCGTTTCCGTCATATTTAAATTTCATTTTTTGTGTTTACAATTTCGTGACAGTGACTTCTTGGGATTCCTGTGCTACAACAACAGTCTCCCCACCGACCTGAACGATCTCCTGAACTGACGCTGCAAGTGTGATACGATTATATCCCCTGCTTCGCCCGTATTCATAGAAAAAGTGACAAGCACCCACTACACAAGGCTTCATCCAATCATGATGCAAATAAAGAAAATGACGAAAATGTCTGCAGGAAACCCTTAACCGGCGATCATGGTCAATCTGCAGACTGCACAGTCGAAGTTTTCTGATGAAATGTGGTTTAGATGTCTTGCCAACTTCCTATTTATCCCAGGACTGGAGGATTTGTGTAATCAAAGTCATTGCTTGGGCTCCCTGTTTTGTTTCATCTTGAAATGCGGAAGACTGGGGTCGATCTAATGTTTCTTTTGTTTACTTCCGGAATATGGGAATTTCCCGGAATTTATTTAATACCAAATTCGGGGAATCTTCAACGGCATGGCCATCAAAATGTAAAATGACAGTATATTGGTAGGAAAAATGCTTTAAAAATGTAGGATTTGAGGAAAATAGGTGAAAATAGAATTGTCAACGGCTTGAATTTTTAATATGGCTGAAGCAGCTCTGCAAGAATCACCGGCCGACACAGAACGTTTCAAACGTGTCGCTGTACTGCTCGTACGTGGAGGAACAAGCATTATTCGTGGATTGTTTGACTATTTTCATCCCCCTTCGACGCTTGACGATGTGCTAAAGATCCAGCATCGAGCTACGTTAGATGACTTGAAAGGAAGGCGAATTTTGAATTCTGATCAGTGGAAAAAGTTGTTTCCTTCATCTGGTGCTTATGGAGAGTCCAAAGATTTTGATTTGTCATTGCTTTTCGTGTTACTGAGAAATATTTGTAACCGTACTGCACCGGCTAATGGATGGGACAATTTGCCGGCTCATATTTCCGACATCTCTCTGGAAGATGATTTGGCTCGAATCAAATATCATCGTAATTATACGTTTGCTCATAATAAGGAAGCCAGACTTTCTGAAAATGAGTTCAACGAGTGTTGGGACGAAATATCAGATGCTTTGCTGAGAATTTTAACCTTTTATGATACTTCAGAGTCTGTCAAAAATTGGGACAAAGAAATAAAAAAGCTTCGACGTGGTCCTATTTCTTTAAAAGACATCCAGGCGTGGCTAGCCGGATTTCCAAGTAAGTTAAAACTGTTTCCATTTGACCATGGGCCCGCGCCACAAATGTTTGACTGGGGATATACTTACAATCGCCGAGGGCCGCAGTTGTTAAGGGGACCTGGGCATTCTCTCTCAGAAAATTTTGAAATTGTAACTCTCCCCGAAATTCGATATCTAGCGTTTTGAGGGGAATCGAGAGCATATAAAAGGCATCGGATTTATGGAAATTTTTGATAACTTTGGCAATGAGAAAAGCTGGCAGAATAACGATTGGGCGGGGGAAGGGCCAGGGGGGACTCCCTAATATAAAAGGGCGGGGCTTCTGCTCGGAAATTCTGAAAATGACCCCTAAAATGGACCTGTATTGCGAGATGATCGGCGTGGCAGTGATGAAATTTCACTCCTAAGAGGGACCAATCAATGAGAGGTCATTTTGTTTTGGTTTCCTGATTTTATTTGTGTTTTTGCACAAGCGTCAAATGCTATCGGCTCGTATTGAGATCAATCATATAACTAGCAGTTATGACTGTTGTTGATCTTATAATGACGGCTTATAATTAGGGTCATCGTATACCCTAAAAGGGACCACAAAACTCAGTTGGTGGGAATACACCTTTTCAGTTGCACTTAGGCCTCGAAAGCAAGTTAATTATTCTTTTTAATTTGACAAATGAGACTATTCATATCAATGTTTGTATTGCTCACATTCCTACAAATTCAAAAGAATATTTAACACGCTGTCGAGGCCTAAGAGCAACTGAAAAGGTGTATTCTTGTCTTTATCACCCTAAGCAGGACCAAAACACTGATTTCAAACCCTAAAAGTGACAACGAGGACCCCCTCCCTTTTATATTAGGGAGTCGAGGGCTCAGGCATGTTAATGCCTGGGTCAGAGGGTAAATTTGGGAAAATACATTTATTTTTGTTTTGAAGCGAAAATGTGATGAAAATTGTCGAAACTTTGCACACTGATAGTACATCATGTTAGAAAGGTCCTTAATTCAGTTTTGTGGTATTCGACAAATCACATGACCAGTTGTCATCAATAAATGGAGAAAAACGTATTTTTAAAATGCAGTTGCGAGTTTTAACGTTAATAAAAAACTATTAAGCTAACGTAGGTTTACTTATAGAGCCCTTTGAACATCTGCTTGGAGAACCTGTTTTGAATTCATGGTTAAAGAGATATTGCATGAAACAGGTCACGTGACTTATTTTAAGCCTCAATATCTCCTAAACCAAAGTAGTTGAAAAGGTTTTCCAAACGGCACTCTGTTTGAGTCAGTAGATGGATATTTATGCACGTTATTTTCCAGAGCGTGTAAAACTCRCRACCGCATATTTAYTTTTCTRTTTTTCAMTATTATGACGTCATAGACCACGTGATTAGCATCAAAAAACAGGAAAATACTAATAACCACAAACCTAGTTAAATTTGTGAATTTAAAGTCGAACGGACATTATATTAAAAAAGAAACGAGGAATTAACGTTTAAAACGATCCCAAGGTCAACGAAGGTCAAACCCAGGCCTTAACATACTTGAGGGGTGGAGGAGGGGCACCTCAGCCCCTCTTGAACCATCCCTGCATTCACCTGGTTATTTGCTGGTTTAGGGCTGCGAAGGTAACCGTTCAATGCTTGATGTCACCCATCTACTTATTTGATATATTAGTTCATACACAAAGTTGTCCTTTTTTTGTGTTTGAATGCTCAGCAATAATTTTCTGCTGGCAAAAAAGACAACTCTAGAGTGTACAGAAAAGTTACTAAAATTTATTTTCTTTTAGATATGATRATAACTTGCTCATTCAAGATACCAGGAT